GCTTGCTGAAAGTGAGGATGACTTGAGGCACTTACTGATGAATGTTGAAGAATACAATCTGCAATATGGATTACATCTCAATATGGAAAACAAAAATCCTCACAACTGGACCAATGAGAAGCATCACAATAAATGGAGAGAAGATTGAAGTTGGCAAAGAATTCACATTGCTTGGTTCTACAATCAATGGCAATGGAAGCAGCAGTCTGGACATTAGACGATGTGTAGTATTGGGAAGGTCAACCGCGAAGGAACTGTTTCAAGTGCTGAGAAGCAAGGATGTCTCCTTGAGGACTAAGGTGCACCTGACACAAACCATGATATTTCCCATCGTCTGGTATGCATGTGAGAGTTGGACAATGAATAAGGAAGACCAAAGAAGAGTTGATGCTTTTGAGTTGTGATGCTGGCGAAGAATGCTGAAAGTACCATGCACTGCTAAAAGAACTAACAGATCTTTCCTGGAAGAAGTGCACTCGAAATGTTCTTTGGAAGTGAGAATGGCCAGACTTTGTCTCACCTATTTTGGTCATGTTGTCAGAAGGGACCATTCCCTGGTCAAGGATGTCATGCTTGGTTGGGTGGAGGGTCGACAAAAGAGGGGGAGGCCTTCAACATGATGAATTGACATGGTGGCTGCGATGATGGGCTCAAGTATAGCAGGGATCATGGAGCTGGCCCGGGATTGGGCAGTGTTTTGTTCTGCTGTGCATAGGGTCGCTATGAGTCGGAAACAACTTGACAGTACCTAACAACAACAACATGAGTCAGAGCCAACATGACGGCACCTAACAATAATAAAAAGGCCCAGAAAGAGATGAAGAAAGAGCCTTCTTTAGAGAAGACCCCAAAGTGTGTGGGAAGATAAGGAAGACCCCTGCAGAGTGGGGTTTGGATTGAAGGTTGCAGTATGAACTCATAATTTCAAATTTTCATACATACATATATATCTTCTAATTCTGCAAATGAAAAGGGCCTGTTGTTGTCGTTGTGTGCCACCAAACTATTTCCAACTTATAGCAACCCTTTATAACAGAGTAGATCTGCCCCCAGAGGGTACCTTAGACTGTAATATTTACACGAGCAGACTGCCACACTTTATCCTATGGAGTAACTGCGTAAGTTCAAACCTCCAACATTTCAGTTAGCAGCTTAGTGCTTAACTCCTGTGCCACTAGGTTTCCTGGAAAGGGGGAATCAATGAAACCCCAGTAGTAATAAGCACAACTACCACCAAGGTCTTGGTTTCTAAACAATTCTCATTAAATGATGAATGACAGATTCCAGGTCTGGCCCTGAAAAATGACAAGACATTGTGTGGCACAAGAAAGAAAGCATGGTATTGAAGACTACTGAAACTGTATTCAGAAAGACACAGGTACGGACTTGGAAGGGCCTCCCCTGGGTCAAACTTGTAACAATTTGAGCATTAAAAAGCATGATATAATAAACACATTAATTAAAAAAAAAAAAATCCATGACTCCATACTGACCTAAGCCATGGTATTTCCAATCATCTCACATGCATGCAAAAGCTGGACAATGAATAAGGAAGACTGAAGAATTAATGCATTTAAAATAGTGTTGGCAAAGAATATTAAATACACCATGGACTCCCAGAAGAACAAACAAATTTGTCTTAGAAGAAATACAGTCAGAAAGCTCCTTAGAAGTGTGAATGGTGAGACTTTGCTTCTTGTACTTTTGGTCAGGAGGGTCCAGACCCTGGAGAAGGACATCATGCTTGGTACAGTAGAGAGTCAGCACAAGACAGACTGACACAGTGGCTACAACAATGGGCTCAAACATAGTAACAGTTTTTGAGGATGGCACAGGATTGAGCAGTGTCTTGTTCTATTGTACATCAAAAAAAAAAAAACTCACTGCCGTCGAGTGAGATCCAAGTCATACGGCTCCTGACCCCTCCTTGGGTTCCCAAGGCGGTATCACTATGGAAGTAGATTGCCCAATCTTTAGATTGCCCAATCTTTGGGTCACCATAAGTTGGAAATGACTCAACGGCACCTAACAAGAATATGCTGCTGATAGTCAAAGGAAAGGAAGTGAGATGGAAGGGAAAGGTCTTCTTTACAGAAAACTGCTAATAATGGTCAAAGAAATAAAATTAGAAGATTTTGCAATGCCACAGTAAAAATAATCAGTTCAGGCATCAATGCGTGTTAAGACCATTGGGTGACAGGGTGTTGGAAAAGAGGATATAGACACACTGTCTCAAAGTATTATCCCACCAATGGTTTACTCATTACAATGGGGACTATGTACTGTACAGTGAAGAAGTCAAGCAGATGCCACCTTAACCAGCTGGTCAACATGGGCCTTTTGACTTGATGCTATATAGAATACATAGAGAGTATATACATCACCTCTGTAGGATTCTTGACAAAATGTTTAATTTGAATCTAAGCATAGTGAGAGAATGAGAATGAATATATGGCAAAATGTGAAGGGTATAGCAGTTTTAAATGTATAACGTTTTTACAACTTTCATGTGAGTCTGACAGTTGTCTAAATGAAGAGTTGTGGTGAGGGAAGAGCCCTCAATCTGCTGGGGGAAAAAATGCATATAAAGGTGCAATTCTTCTAGAGCCAGGCTGCCTGAGTTTGAATCCCAGCTGTGTGAGAAGGCAAGGAATTTTTCTGTACCTCAGTTTCCCCATCTATAAATTGAAAACGATATTAATTTCTGCCTCATAGGGTTGTTAAGAAGACTGGCTTCACTAACATATGCAAAGAAGTTGGAATAGTGCCTGGCAAGTAGCTGGTGCTAGGTAAGTGAAAGAGCTATTGTCATCATTGATTGGAGAAGTAGAGTATCAGTGCCCACTTAATTATGACAGACCTGGCATTTGTTCCATCGAGTTTTGTCTCAGAGGCAACCTGGACCAGGCTGCTGAGCTCATACAGTGAAAAGCGTGGCTGGAACGGGATGTGTGTGCGTGTGTGATGGTGGCAGAAAGGGTGTGGGGCACAGTGTGGGAGTACCTGGGGACGTGTATGTATGTGTGTACATACTTGTATACAAAGTGAGCTAGGCAGGTGTAAAGAGGGCGGGTGGGATGGGGATCCAGGCCGAGAGCGGTGAGGATACTGAACAGAGAACAGAGGGGAGGTGAAAGCGCCTAAAAGGCCAGAGGTGGTGAGGCAGAGCCCGGGTTAGGCAGAGTGGGAGGTGGCAGGAGTGCGGTCAGGAAAGCAGGGTCTGAGGCAAGGCTGGTCTGGGCGGGGCGAGATCCCGGGCGGAGGGTCCCGGCTGGGAAGGCGTTGGGGCTGGATGTAGAGGCGCCCGCGAAGGGTGCATGTTAGGCACTGAGGGTATTAGGCAAGATCCGCAAGGGGCACGAGATAGGGCCGGGCGCAGAGGGAACCTGGGCGAGGCGGAGGGCCGGACGCCGAGGGTACCCCTGTGCTCACCCGGTAGGTCTGCGCCACCTCTTCCAGGGGCGCCACGCGGTGATCTCGATGCTCCCGGGAGCGGTCGCACACCACGCAGATAGGGCTGTGGTCATCCTGGCAGAAGAGCTTCAGCGGCTCCAGGTGCTCAGTGCACAGGTCGCACTGTCCCCCGGGGCCCTGCGCCGGCCCAAGGCGCCCAAGAGCAGCGGCCACCCTCCCGAGCGGCCGGTTGGGCCGCAGGCTTCGGGGCGCGCAGGGCTCGCGGCATTCGGGGCATGGGAAGGGCGCGTCCCCGACGCCCCGGCTGCTGTCGACGCAGGCGCGGCAGAAGTTGTGGCCGCAGCCGAGCGACACGGGCTCACAGAAGAGGTCGAGGCAGATGGGGCAGGTGGCCTCCTCCTGGAGGTCCCGGGCCAGGCTCCGCTCGGCCATGGCGCCGCCGGTCCGAGTTTCGCTTTCGCGTTCCGGGTAGCGGGAGGGGCCGGGCGCCCGCCCCGCCCCAGGTCTGCGGCGTAGGAGGGGTGGGGGAAGATCCCAGCTCGGAAACCCCAGATGGACTACCCAGCCCGAAGGGCGCACTACCATGTCCCTATGGGTGGGGGACTGGATCTGGGAAGGAGCTTATGGACACGAGGATTCTCTTGGGATGACTGGTGCTTGTTGCACAACGCGGGGAGTGTACTGAAACATTGCTTAACTGTACACTTGAGTGAATTTCGTGGCAATGTTTACAATAGTTATTTAAAAAATTCCAGGTTTAGTCCAGGCAGTTTAACCTTTCTGTACCTGTGACCTCACGTGTACAGTGGGGATGTTATGCATCTTACAAAGTTGTGGTTAAAATTACCTGCAAGAATATGTGCTAAATATGTAAGACACTATACTGAAAATTTATCCTTTATTTTTAATCCATTCTTCGAAGTACACTGATAGTAGGGTGGAAACATCCAAGAGTGCAGGAGAATGGAAAAGAATTAATAACTCACTATGCTCTAAAAGGAGCTCTGGTAGCATAGTTGGTGCCTAAGACACTTTACTGCTAACCAGAAGACTGGTGGTTCAAACCCACCAGCCACTCCTCAGAAGGTTGGGCCATCCACTTCCGTAGTGACAGCACCTGGAAGGGGTCGCTATGAGTCGGGTCGGACTCCACCGCACATAACAACAACATGCTCTGAAACTTACCCTTGAAGGGAGAATAGCTAAAGCAAATAGGAGAATAGACAGGAAAAAAGAGCTGAGCAGAAGATTCAAAAAGCAGCTCGAGAAGACAAAGCCAATGATTATAATGAAACGTGTAAAGACATGGAGTTAGAAAACCAAAAGGGAAGAACACATTCAGCATTTCTCAAGCTGAACAAACTGAGGAAAAAATTTAAGCCTTGAATTGCAATATTGAAAGATTCCATGGGCAATATGTTGAATGATACAGGAAACATCAAAAGAAGATGGATAGAATACACAGTCGCCGTACCAAAAAGAACTGGTCAACGATCATTTCAGGAGGTGGCATATGATCAAGAACCAATGGTACAGAAGGAAGAAGTCGAAGCTGCACTATAGAAAGTGGCGAAAAACAAGGCTCTGGGAATTTATGGAATACTCATTGAGATGTTTCAACAAACAGACGCCCCGCTAGAGGCACTCACTTGGCTATGCCAAGAGATGTGAAAGCTACCCGGCCAACTTACTAGAAGAGATCCATATTTGTACCCATTCCAAAGAAAGGTAAGCCCACAGAATGTGGAAATTATCAAACAATACCATTGATATCACATGTAAGTAAAATCTTACTGAAGATAATTCAAAAATGGTTGCAGCAGTATATTGGCAGAGAACTTCCAGAAATGCAAGCTGAATTCAGAAGAGGATGTGGAGCAAGGGACATAACAGCTTAAGTCAGATAGATCTTGGCTGAAAGCAAATACCAGAAGGATGTTTGTGTTTTACTGACTATGCAAAGGCATTCAATTGTGTGGATCTTAACAAATTATGGGTAACATTGAGAAGAATGAGAATTCCGGAACACTTAATTGTATTCATGAGGAACCTGCACCTAGACCAGGAGGCTATCATTTAAACAGAAAAAGGGGATACTGCATGGTTTAAAATCAGGAAGGGAGTGCGTCAGGGTTGTATCCTTTTAATCTGTATGCTGAGCAAATAATCCAAGAGGCTGGACTGTATGAAAAAGACTATGGCATCAGGATTGGAGGAAGACTCATTAACAACCTATGATATGAGGATGAGTTGAAGCACTTACTGATGAAGATTAAAGACTTACAGTCTGCAGTATGGATTACATCTCCACATTAAGAAAATAAAAGTCCTCACAACTGGGCCAATAAGCAGCATCAAGTAAGGTGAAGAAAAGACTGAAGTTGTCAAAGACTTCATATTATGTGGTTCTATAATCAATGCCAATGGAAGCAGCAGTCAGGACATCAAAAGACATATTGGATTGGGCAAATCTGTTGCTAAGACCCCTTTCAAGTGCTAAAGATGGCAGCTATTAAAGACTGTTCAGCTTTGCTCTAAACCTGGTGCCATGGAGAGCAACACTGTTTGATCAGCTATGTCCATACTGTCTTATCCACAAGGCTGTCACTCTTGTCACACCTTTAAGTTCCAGGCTGGTCATCTTGCTCAGCATGAACAAACATGGCAGTCTCCTAGTCCTCAATAGGACACAAAGACACTGACATGGTCTTTTGCAAAAATACAGCAATATTTATCCAAGTCCTAAAAATGCTCAGACCCCTTGGCTCAATTGAAAAAATAATCTGTAAATGATTTGAAGGAATCATTGCTACACACATTCAAAGTGGTATTATAATAGTGCAGAAAGAAAGACTAAGATGCACCTAACCCAAGCCTTGGTATTTTCAGTCACCTCATATGCATGTGAGAGCTGGACAATGAATAAGGAAGACTGAAGAAGAGCTGACACTTTTGAGTTGTGGTGTTGGCAAAGAATGCTGTTAAATAACGTGGACTGCGAAAAGAACTAACAAATCTATCTTGGAAGAAGTGCAGGTGGAATGCTCCTTGGAAGTGAGAATGACCAGACTTCGTCTCACCTACTTGGGTCATGTTGTCAGAACATTCTCTGAAGAAGGATGTCATGCTTGGTAAAGTGGAGGGTCAACGAAAGAGGGAAAGGCCCTCAACAAGACAGATTGACACAGTGGCTGCAGCAGTGGGCTCAGGTATAGTAGGGATCTTGAGGCTGGCACAGGACCAGGCAGTTATCGTTCTGTTGTACGTAAGGTCGCTATGAGTTGGAGATGACGCAATGGCACATACCACCACCATTATGCCCTGAAAAAGCTTTCTCTCATTTTTAGCCATACTTTACTTACCCTCCAGTCCATTCGTCCACCACCATTATGCCCTGAAAAAGCTTTTTCTCTCGTTTTTAGCCATACTTCTTACTTACCCTCCAGTCCATTCTTAACTGTGGAGACCCGTGTGTGCAGAAAAGAACTTCATAGGGTTTTCAACGTCGATTTTTGAGAGCAGATTGCCCAGCCTGTCTTCTGAGGTATCTCTGAGTAGGTTTGAACCCTGAACCTCACCACTAGTAGTCCAGCACTTAACCATATGTACCACCCAAGGACTCCATACTTCCCAGTGCAATATTGCTAGTAACCTTCCCCCCATCCTTCCATGAGTTCTCCATCTTGCTATACAATTTTTTTGTAGCATTGATCACAACGTAGAATCTGTTTACCTGTTTTTATTGCTTATTTTCCCACTGTCTCCTAACTGCTGGGCCTCCTAAGAGGAAGGGCTTTGGAGCAAAGATTCTAGTAGCCTTAAGCACTATTAGAAGCCCCAGGAATTGCAGCCACATGTCCCTGCCTGTCCTGCTCTTCCTAATTCCCTTCCCTGCTCTTTTTCTCCAGAGCTAGTGTAGGACTTGTTTAGTCCATTACCTCTTGCCCACAGTAAGAAGTCAGGTCCACCAATTAAAGAGTTTGCAGAAAAGTTCACTGCTCACTGCTCTCTCTCCAGCCCCTGCAAGTGGTGCCTGGTACACACAGGAGCCAATACTTACAGTGGGTGGAACATCTGGAAAGGAAGAATTCAGTGTTGTGTGCTTGGAGATGGCAGCTAACAGACTGTTCAGCTTTGCTCTAAACCTGGTGCCATGGAGAGCAACACTGTTTGATCAGCTATGTCCATACTGTCTTTCTTATCCACAAGGCTGTCACACTTGTCACACCTTTAAGTTCCAGACTGGTCATCTTGCTCAGCATGAACATGGCAGTCTCCTAGTCCTCAAAAGGACACAAAGACACTGACATGGTCTTTTGCAAAAATACAATATTTATCCAAGTCCTAAAAATGCTCAGACCCCTTGGCTCAATTGAAAAAATAATCTGTAAATGATTTGAAGGAATTGTTGCTACAGGCATTCAAAGTGATATTATAATAGTGCAGAAAGAAGAAAGTCTAAGAATGAGTAAATAAATGATCAATTAAATGAAAAAGTAGCAATTAAACATGGTAGAACAACATGGGAAATGTTTATGGGGTTTTTGGGAAAAAAACAATCCTGTGTTAACTGTGTAAAACAAATACACATACTGAACAAAGAAAAGTGTGACCCACTGCAGCCTATATGACTATGAGACCAGAAGAACTAGATGGTGCCCAGCTACCACTGTCATTCACATGGAAGGGGATCTATCTAGGAGATCCTTGACAGAGAGGGAGAACAATGTGGAACAAAACTCAAAATCATTTGGAGAAAAAAAGGGGGGGCAGGTTTGCTGGTCCGATAGAGCCTAGTGGAACCTCTGAGACTATGGCCCCTAGCTGCCCTTCAGGTCTGGAATTGCACCCACACCTGTGGTTTCCAGCCAAACAAGACAGGCATATGAGTTGAACATTTACCTCAGGTAGATACACTCCTGGAGAGAACAATCATGGGAGAAAGAAGGGCAGTGTATGCACAGGGAGACAGCTCAGGGGGCAGGAGTGCATGGAGGGATGGACACTTGGAAGAGGTAACTAGGGGGAGGAAGTGGGAGGGGAGCTGTTGTATTGTGGTAAACTGTGGTCAATGTCATGAGACAAAGTATATATGAACTGCTGTATGGAAAGTGAATTTGCTCTGTAAATCTCCACCCAAATCACAATTAAAAAAAAGAAAAGTGTGACCCAGTCTCTGATGTTCCAGTTTTTGCACTGGAACTAAGCTGTACTTCCCTCCTTCACAGCCCAGAATCTTCCCTTGGCGTCCCCCTCTGCTAACTCACTGTAGGCCCCTTTACTCAACAGGGGATGAACGATGGACAGGACTACAGGCAGATGGTTAAAACTTATTTAATGTTAGAACACTGTTCTTAAAATAAATAAAATATAGGGTAAAAAGAGAAGCCAAGGGTGAAGAAACCTCAGAACAAAGACAAACTCATGAATTCTGTAATTGTCAGGTCTCTTTGCAGCCACTCCTCCTCCAGGGAGAAGACAAGGGCAGAGGAGAGGCTCCCAGTGCCCTCCTGGAATGAGAGGACCTGGGTAAAGCACTCCGTGGAGTGTGTCCTATGTTTAGGGAGGGTTCAGTGAGTTTTAACTCATTGTTGGAGCCATCTCCAAGGCCCAACCTTGGTTTCAAAACTGGTGCCAGCCTAGCTCAAGCCAGATTCCCTGGAAATAACATGTAATGGTTTTGAACAGACAGCATTATCACTATAGCCCTGCAAAGTTGCTATCACTACATCCTACTTTATCAACAAGGAAACCACACATGGTGAGGGGAAATCCCTTTCCCAAGGTCAGTTGGTGATGAAACGTAACAGGGGAGGTGGGAGGATGATGCTGGAATTGTAATACAACGACTGATTACCACTGGAGACTGGTGGCTGGCTTCTGATGGATGAAGAAAAAAATGTGTCAGGGCAAAGCAAGGCTATCTTTCTCAAAGTTGAGGGACATGCTCAAGAAGTCTCAACAAAAGCCACCGTGTTAAGTACAATCTCCACATTCTGGTCTTGCCTCTGGATCCCACAAATCTACCACATGGGACTCTGTATACAGAGCCAGGAGGCGCTGAAATGGTCTGAACATTCTAAACGTGGGCACCCAGCTTTAAAGGGTACCTGGATTGTTCTAGTTACTCAACACCTTTGTTCAAAGACTTCATCCCTATTTCCTTTTGCTCTCTGGCTTTTCCAAATAACCTCTTCCCTTAAGACTCAACTGTTGTACCATAATCACATCCAGTGTTATGATGGTTTCTCACCAACTCTCTCATAAGGACAAATCCCGAGACGAACCAGGAGGCTTAGGGCCAACTCCTCTCCATATATACTACATCTTTCTAGAGGGTAGGGCACTCAGCCAGTGAGGCTGTGACCCTAAAAATGCCAAACAGCAGCTCCTGGAGTCCCTGGTACCTCCAGCCCTCAATGTGGCCCAGCTGGCATGCTGGTGAGGCTCCTGTGGGACCACAGATCAGGCCCAAGGGCCATGAAGATGAGGCTGTTGGCAAGGGCTCTCGGCTCTGATTAGTCTGGCAGGGATGCTTGTCACTGTACAATACTCAGGCTGGTCCTGCCCAGGGACTGAGTCACGTGTCTTGCTGTAAAACTCAGGTGAATGAGGTCTCATACCAAAGTGGAAACTGTGATGGGGAGGATCAAGGCTGTGCCCCTCACACACCTGCACACATCTTTCAGGAATATCAGTCTGTGTTTCACTATGTACATTCAGAGAAGTAGTACAAGATTCTTCCCATTAGCTCATAGGACATGCTCCCTCCTCACAGATTTTCCAAGGAGCCAGGAAGACAGTGCAGGGCTGTGAGAGGCAAAGTGAGCCCTCGCAAGGTACCACGCACAAGAGCGTCTGCAGGTGCCAGGCATACCACTAGGGAACTAGTGTGTCCCCAGGCCCACCTTTTGCCCGGCAGATGGTCAGAGGGATCGGGCTGCTTGACAGAGGTGAGAAGAGGGGCCGGAGTGTCCCAGAGAAGGAGGTCTCAGGGAAGATAAACAAGAGTGACCCATCAGTCGCACTGTAGAAAGAGAGGTGTCCAGCTTCATAGTCCAGAAAAATCCCCACGCGCCGGGGAGGATCTCGGAGGAGAACAAAGGCCCGCTCAGGAGAATTGTAATAGCTCCCCAGAAAGACCAAGATCCAGAAGCCATTGCCAGCCGACAGCTCGCCTGTCTCCTTCCTGTTGACATTCTCCCTGCAAACACCCAGGGCCCAGCTGGCCCGCTCCCCAACCTCCACCTCCCAGTAGTGGCGTCCCGTCGTGAACCGTGAGTGGCCCAGCACACAGGGGCCCGGGTCGAACCTCTCAGGGTTGTCGGGCAGCGCCTGCCGCAGGTTGCCTCGACGCACGCTCCTCCGGTCTTCAGACAGCACTAGTTCAGGGTTGGCGGTGTCTGGGTCCAGAGTCACATCCCCTGCAGAGAGAGGCCCAGGTGACCCCAGCATCTCTGAACATGGGTACTGAAAAGCCGTCCTTCATTTCTTCCAACAAGCCCAAGCAAGGCAACCTACATCCATTTCTTCCCAGGTCTGTCCACTTTCACAACCTCCTTTCCCCAAATGAGCTTTGGGCAAGGTTGGGGATCCTCCCAGGGATCTCCCTCCCCTTTTGCTCTTCTGGAAAAAAAAAAAAAAGTCACCCAACCACATTTAATTGCCAACTCAGAATAACCACAAAAATCCTGCCTTTTAGTTTTACTTTCAACTAGTGAACCCTAACTGCCCTCCCTCAGCAGTGAAAAGGGACAACTGTCCAATGCCCCAGGTATTGAACTAGGCACTTCGACACTGGGTGGAAAGTTGGCACTATGACACTGGGTAGAAATTGGGCACTTTGACACTAGGTGGAGTACAAAGTAGAAGGTCCATCCTCCATGTGACCTTTCAAGCCCCTCTCCTGAATGCATCAGGTAAAAACTCCAGCTAGCCCTGCTACTGGCTTAGAGACGCTGCTTTACTTTCTTTTAGCCTTCACCTCTACCTGCCAAGAAGAACTAACCACTCAGTCTACTAGGAAGACTAAGGACAGATTTTCCTCTGGATGTACCCTCCCCCACCTGAGACCAATGCTGAGCAGCTGTGGTGTCCTGCTGGTTGGCCTGTGTCCCCTGGGAGTCTCTGGCTCTGAGCCATGATCAGCACTGTCCTGGCTACTGGGCCCCACCCATCCAGACACTCATGAGTCCTCCCTTTCCTTATACCCTAATACCAGCCTCTGGACAGAAGCTCAGACAAAGCTGGGAGCCCAGAGCACTTACCTCGGAATCTCCGCAGTGTCTCCACCAGCCCAGGGACCCTACACACAGTCCTTAGCTCCATGGGCACCACCTCTGGTGGCTGGAGCTTCACATCCTGGATCCTGAGGGCGAAGCACAGGCATCACCCTCTACAGCACAGCCCCAGCCCACACCCAGCCCGCCTCCCCAGGGAGGGGCAGAGGGACTCATACCTTCGCAGGGCATCCCTGATGTCCTGTGGGGAGAGACACATGTGGCAGTCAGTGCCACCACCACCACTGATACCCGGTCAGTGTCACCGCCACCACTGGCACCCAGTCCCGAGGGTCCCTCCCTACAACCCGGTCCCTGCTCCCTCTCTCCTGGGCCCCTCAAGCCCTGGGCACCAACAAAACAGATGCACCAGCAAACAGCTCTGGGCCTGTCCCAAGCACAGCTAGAAGCCTGAGATTTCCTTGGTCTCTGTTCAGATTCAGGAGAACTAGAGAGATGTCAAGGCACATACACTGAGGGGATGCACATTCCTGGGTACCACAAATTGAGGGTACAGCCCAGCCTCCACAGGCCCACCCAGATTGCAGTTTCCCCACACGGCTCAGGAGACTTGAGGCATTTGGCTGTGGGCTCCCTCGGTCATCATAGAACCTAAATGCCCTGGTCTCTGCCTCGACAGTGCCCTTGTGGGGAGATAGGGCACTGCCACCACTGTGTTCACAGTCTGACTCCACCCAGTGGCAGAAGACCTCTAGTGATTCCCTAAGCTACAGAGTCCCATCCCTGGGTAAAGCCCTCACTGCCCCTACTCCCCTGCCCTGCCCAGCCCTGCCAGCCCGCCCATTCAGCCCATTCTCACTTTCTGATCCACAAGCTCCCCCCATCCCTTCACACAGCCTTTCCTGGTCATACACTTTCTCTATAACATGTATCTAGAGTGACAGCATTTACTGATTTCTTTAGCATGTCAGGTCCTTGGAGGCAGGGGTTTGTCCTGTGTCCCCTGATCTGTCTTTGGTGCCAGAAGCATGACCAGCACATGACAGAGACTCAACAACCATTTGTCAAGTGAATGAGGATGAGGGAGTCCACTGGATCCCACAGACATTGCCTAGCCCCATAACACCTGCTGCCATATCAGACACCAAGACAAACAGAGCCAAGATGTGGTCCTAACAAGGGTTCCCTCCAGGCAGCAGATACAGTGACAGGCAGGTCACATACACATACAGAAGGGAAGGAAGGGGGCACACAGGCCTCAGAGAAAAGAGATTGCCCTGGGCCTTTGGAGCCCCAGTGGGGTCTTGCCAGGCAGACAAAAGATGGCTCTGGTAGAAGCAGCATGTGCCACAGGACTGGGCACGGGGCCTGGGGTGCAAAATGCCCCTTCGGTGGCGGTTTTAAAGGGTTCCTTGCCCCCAAGGCATTTGGAATGGGTGGGGCATTTTCAGTTGTCACAGGACTGGGCTATGCTGTAGAGTTTAGTGACACTGCTGTCCTGAACTCACTGAGGACTACACCCAAACCCCTCCACACAGGGGGCAGAGATCCCTCCACAGAGATGATGGGCTATGGCTGCTGGGGACAGGGGACAGGTAAGTAGCCACCCAAACCCCCACATTACTACATTGGCCCATTCATAGAGATATGTGCCCACAAGGCCAAGGTCTCAGCCTGTGAACTACATATAGTGGACACAGGTGGCCGAGGGGGTTGTGCCAGAATGTAGTTGCCATGGGTGATGCTGCCAGGGACTCCTGTCCTGCTCTGCCATACCCTCATGCAGCCCAGGGCAGGTGCCAGAATAGAACCAGTCAGATAGAGAAATAAGGCTCAGAGAGGGACACAGAGTAGGTAGAGGGCAGCTCTGGTTCTAAGCCAGGCATGCAGCCTTGTCTGTGCCACACTGCAGCTCTCCTGCCTGACTCACCCCTGCACCACTGGCCTCCTGCCCACTCACTTAGCCCTGTGGGACCTTGTTTCATTATAAAACTCAAGGACTACATGATGGCACATGTGAAGCCCTGGGTGCCATGCTGGATACCCAGCAGGCACATGCCACTACTCCCTCTCAGAATATCCAGCTTTCATCTCATCTCCCTCTTTAACTCATGAACCTGCAAATTTCCTGCCTCCTCCTATCATCTGTCAACCTCCTTTTCTGCTGAAGCCACATTCTCACAGGACCAGGTAATGCTGGCTGTCCCCTCCTTCACTTCCCTAAAGCCCTTCAGCTTGGACATCTGGGTAGCAGTACCTCCACTGGGTCAAGGAGGCTGGGAGGGTCCTCCCTGTTACTTGGCCAGGGCAGATACAGGCAGGGGATCACTGTAGAGGGGCCAAGTACCAGAGAGCTGAGACCCAGGACCAAACCAGGGACCAAGAGCCACGGGTTGCTGGGGGAAGGGGTGGCTCTGTGGGAGACAAAGAAGCAGGCTGGCCAAGATCACCCTCTACTGAGACCACCTGGCTGAAACCCCAAATAACATCTTCACTACAGATTCAACTGCCTCTCAGTAAGCCTGTTCCATCTTCTAAACCGCTCTGTGTGGCATCTCCTCTTCACTGCCTTCTTCCTCCCCAACAGCTCTCCCTCAGCATCCTATCCTGACTCCCTCAGCCCAGTACTATGAATCCCTGTGTCTCCAAGACCCAAGCATGGCCCTCTTCTCTGAAGACTGGGCTTCCCTCATCCAGCCTTCAGACTGTTGCTGAGGGTCCAGTCTGCTCCCCAAGCTAAAACCATTTGGTGGCTCAGCAGAGGCTTCTGGATCAAGTTCAAAATCCCAGGGACATTAGCTGGGAGGCCTCTCTGGGAAACACTGGTTTGCTAGCAAACCCCTCCAGGGCATCCCCAAGGAAAACCAGGTACCCTTTCCATACCCATAGCATGTCATTATCCTCCAATCATCCTCTATCATCCACCCAACCTTCCTAGTGTGAATGCCTGAGCCATTCAAGGCAGGGCCTCAACCCTCACACCCACAGTGCCAACACAGAATATACAGAAGACACTCACTGCATCTGTTGGGTGCAAAGTCCAGACAGACATAAACAAATAAAGGCTCTACTATGGAAGGGCCCTTGGAAGGAAGGTTGGGCAATCCTACTTCCGTAGTGATACTGCCTCGGAAACCCAAGGAGGGGTTGCTATGAGTCGGGGCCAACTCGACGGCAAAACAACAACAACAACAACATGGAAGGGCCCATATGCTAGGAGCTTTCAACACATTCACTCACTCATCACAGTCTATGAGACCCACACTCATATCTGTTCCACAAGTGGGAAAAAACAAGGCGTTGAGAGCACATTCTTCATTGTCCCCCTGACCTGCCCAGGCGCCACAAGGAAAAAGGAGATCCTGGGGTTTTGGCTTGGGGCGGGAGGAACACTGCCAACAAAAGCCCAAGTACAGGGGGAATGGGGGCAGAGAGCTACCCACTAGAGTGAAGGGGCCAAGGGCACACAGAGACAGGAGTCAAGATGAAGACCACCTGCAGAGGCTGGCCTGTAAGACCCAGAGCTGCCCAGAGCACAGCGTCATGCAAGTGGCAATAAAGAGCCCAGGCAGGTCTGGGCCCAGAAGGGGCATGTGCAGATTCACTTGGGACTGGGAGGAGGCCAATGGCAGGAAGTGCAAGTAAGGACCACAATTAAGACCAGAGAAGAGATTTTGGAGATAAAGCCCACAAAAAGAGGCTTGCTTTCCTACCTCTTTTCCTCTGTACTTGGAGAGGAACGGAGATGAGGGAGAAGGGCAGTTTTCCTCTCACTTCACCTGCCCCCCATCTTTCTTGCCATATCAAACCCAGTGGTCCCAAACCTTAAGCTGTAGCACTCCTTGGTGCTGACCCACCAGGACCCCAGAATCCTGGATCTAGGATTCTATGCCCCATGCAGCTCAGCTGGTCCCAAAAGATGACCTGGACAAGTGGGCACAGGAGTCCTCAGGCTCATTTCAGGATTCCCCAGAGCCAAAATTCATCACATGCCACCCTCCTACATGCTGCACAGATGGGACAAAACATCTACTGTCTTTGTCATTGGCTAGCATAGATAGTAACCACACGTGTCTGTGATTAGAGCAATAAAACATGAAAATAAACTAAGCATTAATTTATACCAAAACCAAAACTCACTGCCATCAAGTCAGAGCTAATGCATAGCAATCCCTCCTTGGGTTTTCAAGGTGGTGTCACTACAGAAGTAAATTGTCCAATCTTTCTTCTGAGGAGTGGCTGGTTGGTTTGAACCGCCAGCCTTCTGGTTAGCTGTCAAATGCTTTTAGGCACTATTCCACCAGAGCTCCCAGTATTAATTTATATGACTTAGTAAATGCCATTTGTTTGAGCCTATGGAGAAAAACGGATTTGCTTTTTCCTTCTTTAAAGCACATGGACTTCTGGTAGTGAAACAGCTGAGATACCTGTTCTAGCTTCCACAGCCTTCTTTTTACAGATGAGGACAAGGCCCAGGCAGGCGTGCATGGCGTCTAGGGTGTGTCTCTTCCCACAAGACAACACTCATCTCAGCCCTAGACAGGGAGGTGAGTCCTTCTTCCGCTAACTCTAAGTTCTTCATCAGAATTAATAGCACTCTCCATTACAGCACACTGCTTGGTTGGTCCTCACCTGACCAACATGTTGTTTAGCCCATCACCGCTGCACCCTTAACAGTGTCTGCAGTGCAATATAGCCCAGGGCATGCACACTCAAGAGTGATGAGCAGAGGGCCAGTGGGCAAGCTAGGTTCCCTACAGGTCTGCCCTACCCCACCCCCAGCACCCTGCCAAGTGGCTCACCTGCAGCAGCCCCAGGGCAGGGAGCTGACAGCGCCCCTCCAGCTCAGCAATGAGCCCCTCAAGCGCAGCGCTCTGCTGCACCAACCTGGCTGCATTCTCCCGTAGCCGGGGCAGTACCTCCAGCTCCTCTTCTTCCAGTTTCTGCAGCAACAGCTGTTCTTCTTCTACCAGGAAGCGGCGAAGCCGCTCAAATTCCGCCAAGACGTTCTGCCTTTGGCTCTCGACCATCTTCTGTAGGTGGGAGAAGCAGAGAGCTGAGACTCAGGGTGCTCCCCACTCTGGTCTCTTCCCTCATCCCCACATTAACTAATTAATTAGCACTGCCAGGCCCTGCAGAGTAGGTGACACACAACACCTCCCTCATCAGACGGGCACTCCCTATGTGCCCCCCAAAACCTCCATGCTTCCCTTGTCAGATACGCACCACACGCACATACCCCTCCCTCATCAGACAAGCAACACACACAGCTCACAACATCCAAATCTACCCAGCTCCTGTATGGAGATTTGTGGACACTCAGAGAATAAGAGTACTATGTTACTCCAATCTCTTTGGTCCCTAAATTTTGGACATCAACTGGAAAAATTCATAGAGCACGGGATACCAGCACTGTATCAAGATCTCTATCTGATTCTCTTCGGCAACTGAATTTAATGAACGTTTAGTAGTGAGACTTTGAACAGCAATAATATTCTACTATCTGACCTCAACAGTTCCTGAGTTTTGGGTCATGAGCAGAGTTCCAAGAGCAGAGATGCCATCAGATATAAAAATCCTATCTTCATGGTTTCCAAGGGTGGGAGTTTGAACAGAGAGGGTCCAGTGAGCAGGGACACCTGTGTGCCGAGGTGGGGCCTCCACTGCAAGAGTTGTCCCACGGCCCCTGCTAGCTGTCCCACCATCCCTGGGATCTCGGGAGCCCAGGGAAGGCCCAGCCACCTGCCTGCCATAAGGCACAGGTCTCCTCTGCCTGGGCCTGGAACAGCAGCGCATCTTCCATTTGCTTCCGCAGGTGCTCCAGCGACTTCTCCAGCTTCCCCTGCAGGCGGAGAATGCACAGCCATTGGCACCTGGTACTGAGACCCTCCCCACTTTCCAGCAATCTGCGGGCAGCTGGCCACAGTGTAGCACCAGGACCCACCTTCTCCAGACTTTGCCCTGTCCGTGAAGTTGCTCTATCAGGAAAACCTCAGGCAGCATGAAGTCCATGCATTTGTAACTGCCTAGCCTACCTAGTTACTGACTGGCTCAAGTTTCTACAAATGTTACCCAAGAGAAAACTGTTCAAGTCTGTTCAACCAAAGTTGAATCCAAAAAACCACAAGTAGGGATTACATTCACAAGGAGAAAAAGATATATAAAATTTCTCAGAATGAGGGAGATAAGATACCTTCAGGTTTGCATGACTATCTCTGCCCAATTACAGTATTACCCCATTCTCCTCTGGCCTCCCTGCTATGGGCAACATCAGCCACTCATCACAGAACTTTGAGAATCCCAACCTGACTCCCTTACTCACCAATAAGTCTAGCGTTCTCCTTTCAAACATTCTTATGTGGGATATCTTTCCCATTCTCAACCTCAATGCCCTAACACCACCTCTGCTAGATTCTTCTGCTGTTACCTCTAACTCCTCAGGTCAGGGCCATGCCAACACGGCCAGGTGTCCTCCAGTGCAACAAGGTTGGCACACACCCCTCTGCACTTGTGACCCCTCCCCAGGTGGCTGCTGAAGGTACAGAGCTCACCTCTACCTCCTATCTTGGGTCAAAGAGCCTCCTCTATCCTGTCAGTTCACAAGGCCCAGCTGAACCCCAACTTCCCATGGGAACCGCTTTCACCATGAATGGCCTACTTTCCTACAAATTCCTCAGTAACTCTACATGTCCTACACTTGTCATGGTTCAGCTTAAACACAATAAGCCACAAGACGTGCATATTTATATTGTTTCCTTGCTCTATTCTATTTCCCCTTACTTGTAGGCACCCTGAAGTCATTTGCACAAAGTAACAGTAAATCTTATGAACAAGCAGAATGAACTATCTATGTCTGATTAAACTGATAATCCCGTGGTTTTCTGTAAGTCTGACCATTTAGTTTCAAAATGATACTATCAATTCTGAAAACCACAGAAAGACCAGGGTCCCAGAAAGGTCTTAAGGGTCACCATAACAAGAACGACAGAACCATGCTCATGCGGAGTGAAGTAGGTTAGTGCTCACTCCTGTGTTCAGCACTGTCCAGACCCTTGTCAGCTGTCACCAAAGGGTCTGACAGTTATTTCCACCCATGTTCCAGAAGGGGATGAGGTATGACAGGTTCCTGAACTCTGCCCCAGACATATGTTCAGGATGTGAACCCAGGCAGCTGGCATTTAGCACACCATACCCTGCCTGGAGACACAGGCCTGCTATCAAGCACTTCAAGAACGTGAAGGATTTTCCTTTTTTTTTTTTTTTGCCTTGCTGCCATAGCCTCAGCTCAGGATCTTTCTAGCTCTCATATGGCTGGACACTGGCCTCAAGGCAACCTCCCCACCCTGCTGCTAGCCTCCTCTAAAAAACACAGGCCTGGTCACCTTACCCCTACCCTTCCATGTGCACCCTCATCTCCTTCTACACTTCCACCTCTCAGCAGTGCTTCTCAAACTATAGTCACATCTGTGGGTTATTAATTTTGGGAGTCCCAAACAGCATTTCTAAAAAATATAACAGAACATAACAATTATCAGAACGCATAGTAAAGCCTTACGCAAAGTATATATCTCTGGCTGGGGTCAGAATGTAATCTTCCTCTATCTGCACTGATCGGCTCAATCCAATTCAGACAGTTTCTCTGTGGCCGTGGCTGTACTGCTCCACAGATAACCTTTGGTTCCCATCACTGTTCCCTTTTTTTATCTAACACAATGGGTCATACTGGGATTTTTCTCAGGTGGCAACTAGCCTGAGTCTGAGTCTGAGATGCCAGGACGGGTTCAGGCAGGGAGAATGGGCCCCTCCTGGGAGGTCAGACATTGCAGGAGATTCCTCAGCACTGCTTTGCCAAGGTGACAGATTGCATCAGTGAGGCAGCTCTTCCTGGGCCCCAGTGCCAGCAATACGTGCAAAACTCGGTCTGAACTCTACCCCACGGTTGCCCAATCTGCCAGTTACAGCCCACAGGTGGCAGGTAAAAACATTTGGGTGGGACATCCCCAACCTTAGAAAAAAATAGGCAATAGCACAGAAAGACTCAAGGACTGTTTCATGAGACTTTTTTTCCATCAGGTCTGTCAGGAGAGCCTCCAGGAGGCGCTGGTGACTTTTTCCCTGACCTGGAAGTTTGGTGACAGGGTGAAATGTGCTTGGGCTGACACAGGATATGTGATATTCTTGTGTGCTGGTACACCTCAGTACAAATTAGAATCTACGTCCTGACACACCCACTTACAGGGATCTTAAACCACCTTCAAGGCCAAAAAAATGGGTAGGGAGGAAAGAGATTTACTGCATCCTAGAAATTGTTCTATGATAGTGACTGACCTTGGCTGGATACCGATTTTAGTATTAGGCTAAATTATGTATTTGGTACATACTCTAACATACATATTTGAATGAGAAATGCATATCACAATTAAAAACCCTGTTAGTGTATGCAATAGCTGGGGTTGCAAGAAGAAACACTCCAGCAGGTTAAGTGAGGAGACATGTACAGACGCCAGCCCTGGCCAAAGTAAGCGGTTTGGCCCTGATGCTCTTCAGGACACGTTTTCGTTTAGTTTTAGGAAAGGTATTACTGGAGCTCTAGTAGCATAGTGCCTAAGGCACTTGACTGCTAACCAGAAGGCTGGCGGTTCACACCCACCAGCCACTCCTCGGAAGGAAAAATGGGGCAATCTACTTCCTTAGTGATACTACTTCGGAAACCCAAGGAGGGGTCACTATGAGTCTGGACTCCAGGGCACATAACAACAACAAACAACATTACTGGAGCAGAAAGATAATGCAACTTAGCCTCAGGCCAAAAGTGGGTCTAAGCTATCTAGTCAAGGCAGAGGCGCCCCCTGGCACTTTACCCAGCAAAGTAGCAGTGACCCAGGCCCTTCCAGAACAGTCTTTGGGGCCTGGAACTCAGCAGCAGCTTCCTCACTGCTCTCCCAGCCTCGCCCCCACCCCATTCTCAGTGGGCAGGAAAAAGTTAAAGAGTTGCAGGGCGCATGACCCTGCCTTGCTCCAATCTCAGAAACTATCTCCAGTCCTCCAGGGGAGTGGCCACGCTACCTAGGGCTGGCCATCTCTCATCAATCCGCACACGGCCCGCTAATGGTCCCAGCGTTCCTGGCTACTTCCTAGCTAGCGGTCACCCCTGTCCCGTGCCCGCAAGAAACCCCTTACCCCGCGTGACCCGCTCCAGGACGCATGCTCTACAGGCCGGCGCCCTCGCGCCCCGTCAATCCCCACCTTGAGATCGTCTGCAGCCTCCTGCAGTGGGCGCACTCGGTGTGCCCAATGCTCACGGGAGCGCTCACAGGCAGGGCACAGCAGACGCAGCTCGTCGCCGCAGAAAGCGGCCAGCGGTTCGCGGTGCGCGGCGCACACGCCCTGCGGGACGGGCGACGGCGGGTGCAGGCGCCTGGCCATCTCGGCCATCTTGGCGAGCGGGCGGTTGGGGCGCAGGTTCCTCTGGGGAGACAGCTCCCGGCACTCGGGGCACGCGTACGGCCCTTCGGGCTGACCCCAGCAGCGGCTGATACACTCGCGGCAGAAGTTATGGCCGCAGTCGGTCATCACCGGGTCTGTGAAATAGTCGAGGCAGATGGCGCAGGTGGCCTCCTCCTGGAGGTTGGCCGACAGGTCCGGGGCAGCCATGGTGCCAGAGGAGCTCACGAAGAGGGCCGCGGGCCGTGCGCCGGGTGCAGACCTGGAGGGAGCGGCAGCCGCTACCCACAACTTCAGGGAGGGCGCGGGGCTCCGGGGTCCCGGACAGGAAGAGGATTGAACGGCGGAAGCAGGAAGCGGCAGGGTGGTTTTTTTTTTTTTAGAACCACCCGCTTTTGCCTCTGACTGGTGGAGGCCTGTCACGCGGCCCGCATGCCGGACGGAATTGGATCGCCTTCACCAGTGACCTGGCGTCACGAGCGTCCTGGAGCGACGGAGTATGGCCGAGGGTGCATGCTCTGGTGGTGGACTACTGGCGCCCAAGAAGACTGGGAGCGCGAGGGAGCGTGGGTCTGCGGAGGGCCGAGCCCATCATCCCTACTCCCAGTCCCCTTTCCGGCGGATTCGCTCCTCCTGTTCCGCAAGCCTCCAGGATATGTCGCCCTTCCCCCTTCCCCCAAAGGTCCCAAATTCTCAGCCAAAACGATTTCTCAGGTGGGTTGTTCCGGAACACTCACTGCCCTACAGAAACCCCTTGTCCGGGTAGTACTGCCCTCCAGAAAACCAAATCTACTACTCTCAAGTCGATTGCGATCCATAGCGACCCTATAGGTAGCGTAGTGCCTAAGGCACTTGACTACTAACCAAGGCTGGCGGTTCAAACCCACCAGCCACTCGAAGGAAGATGGGGCAATCTACTTCCGTAGTGATACTGCCTCGGAAACCCAAGGAGGGGTCGCTATGAGTCGGGTTCGACTCGAGGGCACATAACAACAACAACAACATAGGATTGGGTAGAACTGCCCTATAAGGTTTCCAGTGCTAAGCCGACAGACACATCTTCTCCCATCCCGTAGCTGGTGGATTTGAAAGTTGGTAGATTAGTAACCAACTACGCCCCCGGGGCTTCTGGTAATATAGTGAGTGCACTGCTTCTTAAATGTTTAGGCTGTTGTACCAGTTGGAATCCCTGGGTGGCGCAAACGGTGGAATCCACCCAGAGGCGCCTTGAAGGACAAACCTGGTGATCTGCTTCCCAAAGGTCGCAGCCAGGAAAAGCCTATGGAGAGCACAGTTCTACTCTGCATCCATGGGGTCTCTTGTTTTATTGCGCTTTGCTTTTTTATTTATACATTGAAAGTTTATGGCAATCCTGCGTGGAGGAAGTCTATCAGCGCTGTTTTTCTAACAGCATGTGATTACTTGGTGTCTCTGTTACATTTTGGTAATTCTCACAATATTTCAAACTTTTTCACGATGCTGTTGCATATTGCACTTAATAGGGAAGGTTGGGCAATCTTACTTCTGTAGTGATACTGCCTCGGAAACCCAAGGAGGGGTCGCTATGAGTCGGGCCGACTCGACGGCACATAACAACATATAGTGTAAACATAACTTTCGTCTGCACTGGGAAACAAAAAAATTTGAGTGACTCACTTTATTGTGATACTCGCTTTAAAAGTGCAGTGGTCTGGAACTGAACCTACGATCTCTGATGATGCCTGTACTCATTGCCTGGAGCTGATTCTGAGCCATGGAGACCACATGTGTGTCAGAGTACAACTGCTTCATAGGGTTTAGCTATAATCTTCATGAAAGCAGATCACTAGGCCTTTCTTCTTGAGTGCCACTGGGTGGGTTCAGACCACAGGCTTGTATATATATAGACTTGAAACTGCAGAAGGCTGTGGAGAGGGAGTCAGTTTTAGAAAAGTGAAGAGTTCTGAAGAAGGGAAGGGAAATCCCCCAAATGAACCTTACCTATTCTATAGGGAGTCCCCCTTTCTTTTGCTGAACATGAGCAATTTCAAGAAGCAGAAGTGATGGGGTGGGGATGAACTCTGGGGGCTTTTAAGGGTTCAATTTGAAGGGGGTCCACTTTTTCATTTTACTCCCAGAAAAGGACCCAGACCTTAGAAGGAATGACTTAGAATGTTTAATAAAGAACAAAGCAGACACCAGATACTATCCTTCTAAATTTTAATTTAAATCATGTGAAGAGCAAAAAGCCAAGTTAAATGAATTAGAAATTCTTAAGTGTGAAGCATGGGAAATAAAAACGAGATCAGACCATGCCTCATAGGTTTAAAGTTTACATATGATTACATTGGACCAGGCAGTGTTTCGTTCTGGTATACATAGGGTCGCTATGAGTCAGAGCTGACTCCATGGGACCTAACGACAACAACAACATATATACTCACTTATCTGTCACTTTGTCTTACTGCTTCATGTGTATGGAAGAGCTGGACAGTGATTAAGGAAGACTGAAGAAGAATTGATTGATTTGAATTGTGGTGTTGGTGAAGAATATGGAATATACCATGCACCACCAGAAGAACAAACAAATCTGTCTTAGAAGACATACGAGCTAGAATGCTCCTTAGAAGCAGAGATGACGAGACTTCGTCTCATGTACTTTGCATTTGTTATCAGGAGGGACCAGTCGCTGGAGAAGGACATCATGCTTGGTAGAGGATCAACAAAAAAGAGGAAGACCCTTGTGGTAGTTAAAGTTATGTGTCAACTTGGCTGGGCCTGGTTTTGAGTGGCTAGGCAGCTGGATATAGCATTGCCCATTATGAAAATGGTAATCAGCTCCATGGTGGAGTCTACTGTAAGCAGCTGAGTGGCTGCCTTAGGGATGTGGTCTGCTCCCAGTATATAAGGAGAAGCGTTAGGAATGGTCTGTAGCTTTTGGCACACTTGAATCCTGCATGTAGCTGAATCATTATTCAGCAGCCTGCCATGTTGTCGGCCAATCTTGGGACTATTAATGGGATTTGAATCAATGACTTGCCATGTGATTTGGTAATGACAGGACTGTACCATTTTATTTGTCGACCTTGGGCTTGTTAGCCTCAGTAGCCAGTAGCTGCCTCAGTAAAGAGAGGCCTCTAGCTTCAGTGGGCCAGGGGCAAGAGGCAGAGCTGAAGCCCAAGGTAGAGTGGCTTTCACCCATCCCCTAGACCTGGCACTTTGAACTTGGACTTCTGGCCTCCAAAACTGTAAGAGAATAAACTCCTATTTATTTAAGCCACCAATTTATGGTATCTTCTGTTAGAGCAGCACAAAGTAACCAAAACAACCCTCAATAAGATGGATTGACACATCAAGGCACCTAACAATAACTATGTATGTATATATATGTATGTATGTGTATATACATATATACATATATATATGTATGTGTGTGTGTATACATACACATTTGAAGCAATGGTCATTCGGTCATAGAATTCTCACCTCCCATGCTGAAGACCCCAGTTCCATTCCTGGCCAAAGCACCTCATACTCAGCTACTATCTGTCTGTCAGTGGAGGCTTGCATGTTGCTGTGATGCTAAACAGGTTTCAACAGAGCTTCTATACTAAAACAGACTAGAAGGAAAGGCCTGGCAATCTACTTCTGAAAATCAGCCAGTGAAAACCCTATGGATCACAACACTGATCTGCAACCGATTATGAGATTGGTGCAGAAGCAGGCAGCATTTTGTTCTGTTGTGCATGAAGTCATAAGTTGGGGCCCCCTCAATGGCAGGTAACAACATACATGTATATAAAAATTCAAGAGGTTTCTTTCAAAAGTTCTATTAAGCATCTGTAAATAAACAGTCTTTTAATGTTTAACTGCTTTAATCATGATTATATTTTGACTTTGTAAACAATAGCCCTGAACAGCTAATTGCACTCATTGCAATCCTTGATTAGCCTTGGCCATGGACCCTGTGGGCGAGCACAAGGCACCCCACCTTACAGAGAAATAAGTTCATCCTTAGCTGTCTTTCCTGCCTGGGTCTCTAGCCCTTCACCCATGCAGTCACTGTGGAGATTACCATCTGGCCTGTTTTAGGAGCCCCAAGGCAGAAGAAAGGCTGCAGGGGGCCTAAGAAGGTGGCCTGGGAGTAAGTGTGCAGATGTGATCCATTGTTCACGTTGTAGAAAGAAACATCCCCAGCCTCATAGTCCAGGAAGATCCCCACATGGCTAGGGGGCTCCAACAGTGTGAAGGGGGTGGCAGCTGAGAGCATGGGTAAGTATTTCTTCCCCTTAGATAGCTGCACAACCCAGAATCCATTCTCGGGGGACTTGGGGACCCGCTCCTTCCGGCTGATATTGTCTCTGCACACACCCAGAGCCCATAGCGCTTCCCCGGTAAGGTTCATGCCCACCTCCCAGTAGTATCTACCCGCAGAGAAGGCTGTCTGGCCCACCATGCAGGGGTAGGCGAGGAATCTGTCCTTGCCGTGGAATGTGCTGTCCACTGGGCAGTTGAGGTAGCACCTCTGCCGGCTCTCATACAGGACGAGGTAGGGGTATGCTGTGGCAGGATCGGGCACCACATCCACTACAGGCAGCATGGGGCCGGGGGAAAGCAGAGCCATTTTGGGTTAAAATTAGAACTTCCTTCATGGGTGTAATGGGGAGAGTACTAGCAGGTGGCAGACAGGTTATTGTCTCATGACCAGATCTTCAAGTGGCAGGAAAACATGGGATGGAGTTCTATCCGATGATCCTAGTCTGCCTAACTCCCTAAAGGCCTCCCCTCCACTAATACCAGCAGTCAAGCCTGAGCATTGATAGTCTTCCTTGGAAGTAGAGTCCTCATTTTTGGGAGCATGTCATTTGGGCCATCTTAACCTTTTGGGTTGGAGCTTGATGGCAAAGCTGAGGTCAAAAGTCTGGGTGCTTCACAGATGATTTTACTCTGCCCCCTATAACTAAGCCTGTGGATACTTAATGATCTCCTGCCCCAGCTGTGGACACTGATATTGATAGGGACTTGGAAGAGAGGGAAGGGACCATTTGGGTAGCTCAGAAAGCTTCATCCTTACTAATGGGAAAGAGCATCTTCCATGAAGTGGATCTTCATGGAGGCAGCAAGGAGAACAGAATTTAAATTTGACCAAATTTCCAACAGTGACGTTTGAGACCTGGGGCAGATTCTACTCATTTGGAGTTAATGGCCCTATGTGGCGGTTAGCTCCTCAGGCTGGGGCTTGAGGCAGGGTGTTGTGCAGTCCCAGCCCTGGGCCCCCACTTACCTTGGAAACACCTTAGCACCTCTATCTGCCCAGGCACCTTGCACACAGTCTTCAGCCCGATGGGGATGGCTTCTGGGTACTGTGTCCTCAGGTTCTTTACCCTCCAGTGAACACAGTTCTCATTGCCCCCTCTGGCTTGACAAGGGGCCCTCCCATGCCCCCACCACTGCTTCAGAGAACGACAAGTGATGATTCATATACCTGTCAAGTGGATGATTCATATCCTGTGAGAGAAGTGGAGACAGGAATTATTCCAGCTCTTAGCACCTTCCTCCCCCTCACCATCCTTAAAATCTCCAAAAGCTCCCACTCATCCACTTCTCAGAGCAACTCGGTCATCTTTTCTTGGCATTTCCTTCCCAAAGCTGTTGCATTCCCTGCCTGGCCCACTGGACTGTCCTCCCACCAAGGTATGCCTTCTGCAGTGGGCACACCAGAGCCATCTTCTTGGTCCTGGTCAGACCTGTAAGATCCAGCTAGTAAGTAGGAAGGAAGAAGGGAAGGTTTCAGGAGACTGTGCTATGTATGAAACGGAGCCCTTGATGCTTTGAAATCAGTCCTGTGACCTGAACCAATTCCTGTGCTTTCTTGTCCGTCTCAGGTGGGGTACTGACCCACTGTTAGGGATTGAATTGTGTTCCCTAAAAGATTTGTTGAAGTCCTCACTCCTGTGCTTCTGAATGTGACTGTCATGGATTGAATTGTGTCCCCAAAAATATTGTAAATCTTAACCCCTTTTTTAGTTTTCTCTTGTATACTTGTGGATATAATCCTATTTGGGAACTGGGTTTTCTTTTTGGTTAATAAGCCATAATCAGTGTAGGTGGGAGCTCTGGTAGCATAGTGCCTAAGGCGCTTGACTGCTAACCAGAAGGCTGGCGGTTCAAACCCACCAGCCACTCCTCGGAAGGAAGGTTGGGCAATCCTACTTCCCTAGTGATACTGCCTCGGAAACCCAAGGAGGGGTCGCTATGAGTCGGGGCCGACTTGATGGCAAATAACAACAACAACAACAATCAGTGTAGAGAGTGTTTTAAACCACTTTTTTGAGATATAAAAAGAGCAGATATAAAAAGATATCTTTTTGAGATATAAAAAGAAACAAGTATTGGTTTGTTTTTTTAAAAAAAGAAAAAACACCAGTGTAGGCACAGAAGCCAGGAAGCCCAGATGGGGAAAACAGATGCAAGGCCACATGAAGATCACCAAGTAATCAAGGAACAGACGCTGCAAAGAGACAAGGCCCTTCCCCCAGAGCTGACAGAGAAAGCCTGAATACAAACTTTTAACCTCCTAAACTGTAAGAAAAAAGTTTCTGTTCATTAAAGCCACCCAGTTGTGGTATTTCTGTTATAGTAGCACTAGATAACTAAGACAGTTATCTTGTTTGGAAATAGGTTCTTTGATGATGTTATTGTTTAATATGATACATAAAGGAGTAGTGTGGGTCCTAATTCAATATGAGTGGTGAATTCAAAGATGAGGAAGGAAGGGCAGCCATGTGAAGATGTATCTACAAGGCAAGAATCACTGGTTGTCACCAAAAGTGGGGAGAGAAGCACAGAACAGATTCTACCTCAGAGCTTCAGAAGGAATCAACAGAGCTGACACCCTGATCTTAGACTCCTAGCCTCCAGAATTATGAGACAATAAATTTCTGGTTTTTAAAGCCACCCACTTTGTGGTATTTTGTTATGGCAGCCTTAATAAATCAATATACCCACCCAAGATAAATGAAGCCATAATGTGATGAAACTGAGGGTAGAGTGAATGTGGAATTGGAGTAAGTTTGGCTCTGTCACCCATCAAGAAGACAATTTGGGGAAGGAAAGGGAAGCAGAATAAAAGAGACAAAGTGCTTTTGAGCCTCCTTAAGAATCAAGAGGGGATTCCAAGGTCACATTTTTACATTTCTGGCCTTTCATCTCTGCTAGAAAGGCAATATAGCAAATTTTGTAATGTTCTCCGGTGTCCATATTCCTAGGTTCTAGACCATAACCCTAACTCTTGGCATAGGAATCTTATCCATGTAAACCACCTGGGCTTCCTTTTCTTACATGAGAAGTGAGGAAACCTGGGGAAAACATTGCTGCTCATAAGAGCATGCTAACAGGCTGGTGGAGGCATAGGGAGTTAAAATGGAATTTTGCAAACTGCAGCCCTCGTCCCTCCAATGGGTCATGAAATCCATTTAGTGGGTTGTGGGAAAATTAGTTTTTAGTAAAGTAGTATAAAACTAAAACTCACTGCCATCGAGTTGTTCCCGACTCATAGCAACCCCTCCTTGGGTTTCTGAGGTGGTATCTCTACAGAAGTAGATTGCCCAGTCTTCCTTCCGAGGAGTGGCTGGTGGGTTTGAATTGCTGGCCTTCTGGTTAGCAGTCAAGTGCCTTAGATACTATGCCACCAGAGCTCCCAATAAAGTAGTAAACAAAATATTACTCAAAGTTAGGGTGATTATATAATTTATCATCTAAACCAGGACACCTTTATTGAGGACAAACCCCACAGGATATCAAGACAATGGACATAAATCTGGGACTGTCCCAGGCAAACCAGGGCATATACCTAAATGTCTCTTTCATGAGACTTTTGTTTCTGTTATATAAATGTGTGTGTGTGGGGGGGGGGGATAATCACACTGTGAAATATATTTTTACTGTATATTCCAGCCAAAACATACACTTTGATATATCACAGTTATCCACTTGTTGGACAGAATCACCCTGACTTCTTCCAGAGGGACAGAGGTGCAGGTTCATTGCTGGCCAACTGACCAAACCTTTCCCAGCACCTTCTCCCAGCAATGGCCATGTGGCTAATTCCTGCCAATGAAGTCATGTGTGCCTGCCTGCTGTGGGTCCCTTCAGATTGGCCACAATTCCCTAGGGGATAGAATGGCTTCAGGTGGGAGATCAACTCTTGGACTGAAGAACACATTTCGGTTAGGTTTGAGCTATTCTGTGTTCAGTTCAGTATTCCCTTCTACCAAACTAAACCAAACCCACTGCCATGGAGTCGAATCTGACCCATAACGACTCTCCTTGGGTTTCTGAGGCAGTATCACTATGGAAGTAGATTGTCCAACCTTCCTTCCGAGGAGTGGCTGGTGGGTTTGAACCCCCAGCCTTCTGGTTAGTAGTCAATGCCTTAGGCACTACACCACCAGAGCTCCCTTCCCTTATACAGCGGGTCAGATCTCGATGGGAACTGTGTCTTATCACTGTACCCCTCACCTCACTGGTCTTCTGTGTCACAAGGCAAAAGGCAAACACTTGTGAACAGTCAGGCACCTGATTGCAAATAACACCAAAAAAACTGCCTGTTCTCACCCCTGCAGGCACCTCCCCCTCTCCTTGAGGGTCCACCCCCTCACCTGCAGCATCTGCAGCGCTGAATGCTCCCTCTTGTCCTCCAGCTCCAGAATCAGCATCTCCAGGGAGCAGCTCTGCTCGTCCAGAATGGCCTTGTTCTCATGCAGCTTCTCTGATGTCTCATCCTCCTCCTTCTTCAGGGCCTGGAGAAGGCGCTGCTCCTCCTCAGCCAGAAAGATGCACATCTTCTCAAACTCCATCATGATGTGGTCTCTCTGGTTCTTCACTTTCTCCTGGTGAGACAGGAGCAGTGTCACACCACCTCCATATGTGTGCTCCTAGGCAGGCCACCTTCCAGTCCTTTCTTGCTGACTATGGGTGGGCAGGGCCTTTCTTAAAGGCAGCCAGTCCAGGGTTGCCAGCACATGTTCCCCTGGCCCCCCTTGTGTAAAACTGGCCAAGCCAAGGCTGGGGGTTTAAATGTGGAGCCAAGGGATAAATCAGAGGTCTCCCAAGGGCACCCCAACCTTGTCACAAGTTTTTGTTCCCTGGAACAAACATGCCTTATGTTGAAATGAGGAGACAGCCTGTGGAGGCATCTCCCACCACAAGTGGGAAACATGAAGTAGAAACTAGAAATTCAGACATGGGTCAGTGTAGCAAAGACACAGATGAGGCAATGAGGCAAAAACCAGAGGCCCAGAAAGCCCTATGTAGACGATAAACCCCTGGAGTCCCAAGGCCTATTACCCTCTCCTTCCTGGGGTGTCACCTCCTCTCTTCTTTGCAACTGACTTTGCTCTGGTGGCATAGTGCCTAAGGCATTTGACTGCTAACCAGAAGGCTGGCGGTTTAAACCCACCAGCCGCTCCTGGGAAGGAAGACTGGGCAATCTACTTCTGTAGTCCTCAGAAACCCAAGGAGGGGTTGCTATGAGCTGAATCAACTTGACGGCAGTGAGTCTGAGAGTTTTGCAACTCACAAGCTGATCCCATTTTGACACTCACAGCTGTCATGAGTTCTGCTTCCAAAAAGGGTATCCAGAAGAACCAGGAGGAGAAGGGGCCAGAGGAGTTGGGAAGTCGAGGGGATCACTGAAAGAAGCCACTTGCCCCCAAGGGTACTTACTGCATGAGTGGCTGTGATGGACTGCATCATATCCCCAAAAAAGATATGTTGAAGTCCTAATCCCTGTTTGGAGAAATAGTCTTTCTTGGTGGATAAGTTAAATCATGCTGAAGTAGGATGGATCCCAATCCTAATCCCTTCTGAGTAGTCTTATAAAAGGAAAGAACAGACGTGGAGAGGGTCACACATGCAGGGAAGACACCGTGTGAGGATCTTTCTACAAGCCAAGAAACAACGTCCCACCAAAAAAAAAAAAACACTGCCATGGAGTCAATTCCAACTCATAGTGACCTCCATTGGGTTTCAAGACTGTAAATCTTTACAGAAGTAGATTGCCTCATCTTCCATGGAGAAGCTGGTGGGTTTGAATCACCAACCTGTTAGCATTCAAACACCTTACACACTCCAGAGCTCCTTAGAAACACCCACAGTTACCAGAAATAGGAGACAAAGAAAGATTTTCCCCTAGAGAGAGAGCATGGCCCTGCAGCCATCCTGAATTTGGACTTCTACCTTCCAGGGCTGTGGGAAAATAAATTTCTATTCCTTAAAGCCTCCCACTTTGTGGTATTTTGTGATGGTAGCCCAAGGAAACTAACACAGTGGCAAAATCCTAAAAACAGGCAGAGCCTGTTAACTGTTTTTAAAATAGCCTGTATGGGCTAAGCATAAAAGCCCAGTTTTGAATCAACTTTCTGGGTTCCATTTATTCACCCATAAACAGTATTCCCACCTCAAGGGTAGGGGCATTTTTGAAAACTGAGGTAGTGTGAACTGCAAACTCTAAGGGCTGCATGGACACCAGGCTTTGCAGGTGCTCTAGTGTCTTGCAGACAGGGTTGTGGAGGAGACCCTTCCCCACTGGACCTGGTCAGAACTCATTTCAAGCCCCAGGGCTTGCTGCTCTCTCAGCGGCATGCCCTTGGGAGCACCTGCCTGCCATTCTTTCATGGTCCTGTCTTCTCTGGCCAGCACCGCCTCAGTCTTCATCATTTCCTCTCTCAGGTATTCCATGTTTTCCTCCAACTTCTCCTACAGGACACACAGACTGTATAGTGTAAGGACAATGGATCTACCCCTCTCCCCAATCTGCATCCCTCTGAACCGTTCTAAGGGAGTCCCCTACAAGGTGAGGACACAGTGGCCAGGAGCTTGAGGCTAATACCTGGTGAGCTCTCTGTGAGCAGATTTGCTCTTTGGTGAGACATATCAGAAGATGCAAGAGAGCAGTTCATACTCAGGAATTTTCCCAGCTACCATTGGGCAGGAGCTCTGGTAGCATAGTGGCTAAGACACTTGCCTGCTAACCAGACGGCTGGCGGTTCAAACCCACCAGCTACTCCTCGGAAGGAAGGTTGGGCAATCCTACTTCCGTAGTGATAACTGCCTCGGAAACCCAAGGAGGGGTCGCTATGAGTCGGGGCCGACTCGATGGCACATAACAACAACAACAACAACAACCATTGGGCATGGGCATTGTATACAAAGGAACTGATCTGCAACATCTCCTTAAGTTGAGAGTAAGACAATCATCTTAGCTCTGGTCAATTCATATGCTGCCAAGTAGGAAAACAGTCTGGAGTTCCAGGGTTCTGTTTGCTCCATTTCCACTGCCTTTTACTTGATTCCTCAGGCTGATCAACCTCTTAAAGGGGTCTTGACTCTTATCAGACTACAGGAACTGGTAAGTCTGACCCTTATCACACTATAGGAGCTGTTGCATTCATTAGCAACAAGGCCTAGGTCTAGAATCTTCTTTTCTGTAATTCTTCAGGTGTGGTCCCCAGACCAGCTGAAGGCATTACTAAGAACTTGTTAGAAATGCATATTCTTGGGTCCCACCCAACCCTGCTGAATCAGAAATTCTAGAGGTGGAGCCAACAATCTGGCTTTCCCAAAACCTTGGTGATGCTAATGTACTGTACTATTTGAATCCAGTTGACTTTCAGGTATAAGTATCATTATCATTGTTTTCCAGTCGCCCACTGAGTCTCGTAAGGAGCTCTGGTGGTGTATTGCTTAAGGCATTTGACTGCTAAGCAGAAGGTTCAAACCTACCCACCACTCTGCAGAAGGAACACTGGGCAATCTACTTCTGTAAAGATTTACTGCCTCAGATACCCAAAGGGGGTCGCTATGAGTCACAGTCGACTCAATGGCAGTGAGTTTGGTTTTTTGGGTTTTTTTTTTTTAACAGAGTCTCATGGAGTCCTTGGGTGGTACAAACATTATGTGCTTGGCTGTTGAAAGTTGGAAGTTCAGGTCCACCCAGAGTACCGCAGAAGAAAGACCTGGTTATCTACTTTTGAAAATCAGCCATTGAAAACCCTATGGAGCATACATAAGTCAGAATCCACTCAATGGCAAATGGTGTTTTTTTTGTTTTGTTTTGATAGAAATTACTTGGTTGTGGCACTAAGTGAATGAAAAGAAACTCCCTTCTCCCAGGCTACTGCCAGTTTAAAGTGTCCCAAAAAGTTCCAAAAGAGAATAAAACATGGATAAGGACTGTCAAAACCCCAAGTGGGAGACTGGCACAAACCATAGGGTGCTGTGTTTGGGAGACAGAATGAAGGCAAAAGTTTTCTACCACGCATACTCCTTCCAGACCATTTTGCACTTCCCTGTTCTGAAGTACTGCCCTGACCTCTCCGTATAGCAATATCATTCACTTTGTGCTTCCCTAAGATTTACATTGGAATGGTCTCTGTCGAGTCCTGCATGTGTTTTTGGCCTCTCCATGTGTTATGGACTGAATTGTGTGTTCCCTTGGAATCCCAACCTATATTGCTATGGATATTATTCTGTTTGGAAATAAGACTTTTCTTTTGTTATGGTAATGAATTCCTTCCAGTATAGGATGGATCCTAAGCTTAATCACTTCTAAATTATAAAAACCAGAATAGATGGTTGTCAGCACATGCACATGCACAAGTGCACACAGGAAGACAGACACCATATGAGGATCATCTACAAGCCAAGAACTTGAAGGAACCAAGGCATGCCCAAGGCTACTGATGAGGAAGGAATCAGTAAGGCCAACACCTATTTTAGACTGTAAGCCTCCACACCTGTGAAAAAATAAATATCTTTTCTTTAAAGCCATCCACTTGTGGTACTCATATAATAGGTCACTGGGTAACTAGGACAACTCCTGAATAATCTTAAGTGGTAGGGTCCCTTGCCAACCTGGCCACCCACCTGGTTTTGTCCTGTGATAACTTCCACTGTGATAGTTGTCCATATTGAGGTAGATTTGTTACAGCAATAGTTAGCCTGCCCTCACTGATATATGCCCCTCTTCTCCCAACATTCCCTGGCCCTCTGGTATAGAGCCCACCTTGTAATCCTGGATGGCCTCATCGATGGGGAACACAGTGTGGAGCCGGTGTTCTCGGGACTCTCTGCAGACAACACAGATAGGGCTCTGGTCCTCCTGGCAGAACAGTTTCAGAAGTTCCTGGTGTATCTTACACAGGTCCCTCTTCTGGAGGCCAGGGTGCTGGCGTGCCATCTCAGCCACTTTGGTAAGCAGGCGGTTTGGCCGGAGGTTCCTCTGTGGAGATATCTCTCTGCATTCGGGACAGGGGAAAGAACCTCTCCGTTTCCTTCTCCCTTTCTTCCCTTTCCCTTTCTCCCAGCTCAGTTGGATGCATTCTCGGCAGAAGTTGTGCCCACAGACAGTCATCACTGGGTCTATAAAATAGTCCAGGCAGATGGAGCAAGTGGCCTCCTCTTGCAGCCTTCTGGCAAGTTCCACAGCATCCATGGCTCCTGGGTAAGAAACCAAGTGAGCTATTTGGCTTTAAGTACTTCTGCAGAGGAAGTCTGAGGTGAGCAGTTTTCCCTCAAAAGTCCAAGCCAACCCTCTCCCAAGAGCTCTGTGGCTCTTGGTGCTACACATGTTATGAGGGTGAAAAGCAAGGATCTGTATTTGTCATTTTATCTACTTCAATCAGAGGCACAAATGCCTCCCAAGAAACCTTCAAAGAACAAAGGAAAACAAAAGCTCTTTCATTGGGGAGTGATGTACAAGAGGAAGGGCACACACAGACACAAACTCAAACACACACACACAGGATATGGGGTCTGACCTTAGGCTATGGAGATAAAAATCCTTTCCTTCTCTACTTGCCCTCCCTGTATAGACTCCAATTGCAGAGAGGGGAGTAGCTGGCTGGGGGTGGGGGAGTAAACCATCCTACCCAAATGGGCCCACCCCTTCAAATTAATGGTATTAATGGTCACTTGCATTTCCTATACGGTTTCTTCTGCCAATGCAGGGGCTGAACTAGTAGATCTGTCTGGTCATAGTCATGTATGGTTCCAATTTATTAACATTTTCAAAGGCGGAGTAAAAAAGGCAGGAGCTCAGTTTCAGGAGGACAAGAGCTGAGCCGGGTACCTTGACATGAGATTTAGAAGAAACAGCTTAGCACTCAGCTTGTAGAAAAGCCAGTGATCACGCAAGCGGCTGCAGTGGCGGGGATGTCCACTTGCTCCTCCGAAGGGGCTTTTACTCACTGGGGTGGGTGAGCAGGCATGTAAGCGAGAAGACGGCACACACAGGCAGCCACACCGAGGCCAAATAGGTAGGGTCCACCGGGCCAAACAGGCCAACTGTGTGATCCGTGAGGTGAAGCTCAGAAAAGCTGAGTTTGTCGATTGAGACCCTCAGACCAATTGTAGGGCCGAGAGGGGTCAGTGGAAGGGCAGGGCTTTGTGGCGTCAGCTGACCAGATGGAGCCGGGGCCTCATTGGCGAGACAGGGGCGTGGGGGCGGGGGGCGGAGTTGCAAGGAAGGGTATGTCTGAAGGCCACCAAGGAAGAGATTTTGGGGGAACACGCTCCTGGTTGGTGGGGTGGGAATTGCTGGATGACAGCATATCCTTGGCTATATCATTGTGGGGTACAGCATGTCGTCAGCGCCCTGTTCCAGGAAGGTGAGGGGACATTTTGACCCAGAGTTAGACTGAAGGGCGGGGAAAACAGGTTCGGAGAGGTGTCCGGAGCCCTTCTGGGAGTCTGTTGCTGACGACCCGACATAGTTTCATCCAGAACACTACCTCCAACCCTGGCTACCCGCACCCAGACACTTTGCCCTCCTAGTCCTAGGAAGCCAAGAGATGAAGAAACTCAGGCTGAGGCTGTCGGGGGGTCGTCCGCCCTTCAATATCAGCGTTTCTGTTCCTTGCTGGAAGGAGCTAGTAGCACAGTGCCTGAGACATTTGACTGATAACCAGAAGATTGGTGGTTCAAACCCACCAGTTGCTCCATGGAAGGAAGATGAGACAACGGAATCGATTTGATGGCAGTGGGTTTGGTTTTTCGATATCGTTAATAGCGGTTGGAATGCAGAAGAAGAATTGGTAGTTGGGAAATATGGCCTTGCTGAAAAAAAAAAAAAAAAAAAGATTCTGGTGACTGCATGATAGAATTTTGCAAGACCTACAATTCATTGACCTTAATTACGTTCACCATGACCACTATTTCCAAATATTTTTCATTACCTTTATCAGAATCTCAGTGCCCCTTAAGCAATAATTCCCCATCTCTGGGTAATTTTGCATGATTTTTGTTGGTCAATTTGAGGGCCCTCGCTCTGTAGGTGGTAGTTTTATGGATATTTTATCCTTGGTCTTCCAGCTGCATGAAGAGGTTGGCTGAGGCTAGCAGGAGCAGCCCAGTTGGGCAGTATTTGTGGACTCTTTCTCTCTTCAGCCAAAGACCACTAGGGATGTACTTTACTAAGTCTGGATTTTTCTATTGACATGGCCAACTTTCCTGTTTAGGAATCTGGATTGAAAGAAATAAGGACACCATGGTCCTGTTACCCATTTTCAGTGCCCCACTTCACAGTGGGCATGAATTGCAAATGCCTCAAATTCAAAGTCTGCACTTTTTGCCACACTAGAAGATATGAACATTGGCTTTAGAGTTCTTCCTTTGCCATGCTCTAGGTTTCCCCTAATCTGGCAATTTCCTCTAGGGCTCATGTGTGGATCTATGTGTCCAGTGCCACAGAGGGCTCCTTTTTGCTGCAGGAACTTGGGGAAAGATCTTTCTTCCTTGGGGCCCCTCTGTCTTACTTGGGTTTAGTTAACATATCAAAATGTACTCGTATCTTTGTTTCAAAAGCCCTTTCTTCTTCTTTTTTAACTTTTTATTGTGTTTTGGATGAAAGTTTACAGAGCAAATTAGTTTTCCATTTAACAATTTATGCACAATTGATTTCCTGACATTGGTTGCAATCCCCTCAATGTAAGAGCACTCTTCCCACTTCCTCATGTGTTCCCTGTTTCCATCCATCCTTCTTTCCTGCCCCTTCTGTCCTCTGAGCTTTTGAGAAGACCAAATGCTTCTCTTTTGGTCTTGTATGGTTGATTGTTCTGAGGACTAGATTTCTCCTTGGTGTTATTGTTCACTTTATAGGTCTGTCTTTCATTTGTCTGCAAGGTGATTCCAGGGATGGGTTCAGTTCCAGGCTTGAAGGGTGTCTAAAGGCCAAAGTCTCAGTGGTTCTACCAGTCTCTGTCAGACAGTAAGTATTTTTTCTTTTATGATTTTGAATTTTGTTCTACTTTTTTTTTTTTTTCTACTCCCGCTCTGTCCAGGACCTTCTACTGTGATCCCAGTCAGAGGAGTTAGTAGTGGTAACTAGGCGCCATCTAGTTCTTCTGGTCTCTGAGTAATGGAGGCTGTGGTTCATGTGGTCCATTAGTTCTTTGGACCATTTGTTTCCTGGAATCTTTGGTTTTCTTCACTCTTCTTTGCTCTGGATAGGGAAAGACCAATAGTTGCATCTTAGATGGCCACTCTCAAGCTTTTAAGACTCCAGACACTACTTACCAACCAGGATTTAAAACGTAGACTTTGTGGATTGTTGTTGTTGTTGTTGTTATGTGCCGTCGAGTCGGACCCGACTCATAGCGACCCCTCCTTGGGTTTCTGAGGCAGTATCACTACGGAAGTAGGATTGACCAACCTTCCTTCCGAGGAGTGGCTGGTGGGTTTGAACCGCCAGCCTTCTGGTTAGCAGTCAAGTGCCTTAGCCACTATGCTACCAGAGCTTCCCTTTGTGAATTATGTTATGCCAATTGACCTAACTGTCCTTTGAGAGTGTGGTCCTAAACTTCCATGCCCAATGACTCATTCCCTCAGGGTATTTAGTTATGGCTAAGAAGTTTTCAGAACTTGCTTTGCTCTACTATATCCATGGATATATTTGTAGCTACACACAAATACTTATATAGAAATATCTTCTGCCATACCTACATTTACTCGTGGGTGTACTCCCATTTGCCTTCCCACATCTGTTCAGCTTGTATGTCTACCTGTGTATCTTTGCATAGAGTATTTTTTGTTATTACTGTTATTGAAGGATTGTGTATATAATAGTATTTACTTTTGTACTCTTTTACCCTTGTGTAACTCCCAGTGTCCTCCTTTCCATGGTCATGTTGTGCTGACCTCCTCTTTATATCTTGGGTGAAGGAAAAGGCAATATATAATAACGGAGAGGTTAGTACAACATGATCAATAGCCCTTTCCATTTTAAAGACCAATGTCTTCTTCTTCTCATTACATTCTCATTTTATGTGTAGCAATCAGCACCATGAATATACCAAAAAAAGGTCAATTGGATTTTCCCTTCTGCTGTCTTTGGTTCCTCAGCTGCTCATACTCCCCAAGTTCTCTGCACTGATCACTTCTCTTAGCTGCTTGTGTAGGTTGCCAGAGGGCGTTTCCATTTTTCCATCTCAACATCTCACAATAACAATAATAATAATAATAATAATAATAAAACGCTTTGTTATTATATTGATTCAGACTCAAGACAACTGTATGTGTTAAGTAGAGCTGAGCTCCATTGTCTTTTTTAAAGTAGTTTGCCTGTTTGTTTTTTAAAATTTTGTTTATTTTATTGCTTTTGTTGAGCAAAACATACACCAACAGTTTCTAAGTGTACCATTTAGTGGAACTGATTACACTATTCCAGTTGTGCAACTACTTTCACTTTCCTTTACTGAGTTTTTCCTCTCCATTAATAAAAATTTGCTGCCTCCTAAGGTTCCTCTAGTAGCCTAGTGCCTAAGGTGCTTGACTGCTAACCAGAAGGCTGGCGGTTCAAACCCACCAGCCACTCCTTGGAAGGAAGGTTGGGCAATCTACTTCCATAGTAATACTGCCTTGGAAACCCAAGGAGGGGTCACTATGAGTCAGGTCCGACTCAATGGTACATAACAACAACACAACAACAAGGTTCCTATAGGAGCTCTGGTAGCATAGTGCCTAAGGCACTTGACTGCTAACCAGAAGGCTGTTCAAACCCACCAGCCACTCCTCAGAAAGAAGGTTAGGCAATCTACTTCTGTAGTGATACTGCCTCAGAAACCCAAGGAGGGGTCACTATGAGTCAGATCTGACTCATCAGCAATGAGTTTGGTTTTTGTTTTTAAGATTCTGATCTAATCTTTCAAGTTGCTGCTATCAATCTGATCCTATATAGATAAATTTTAAAAGAGCATAATGCTCAAAGAAGACCCTTTTTACTAGTGAAGCTAAACTATGTTTGGTTTTAAGAAGACTTCAGGGGATATTTTTGTTTTAAAGTTTAAAGATTTTCCCAGGGCAATAGTTTCAGGCGTTCATCCAAAGTTCATGGCTCCAAAAAGTCTGGAGTCCATGAGAATTTAAAATTCTGTTTACATTTTCTCCCTTTTGATCAAGATTCTCCTATAGCATCTTTGATCAAAATGTTGAGTAATG